GGAGGTCACACAACAAGGGCATACCAACACGTTCCACCTTGTTCAGCTTGCCTGGTGTTCCCTGGTGTTTCCTGGGAGTGAGCGATAGCGAGCGACTGAGAGAGAAAGGAAGGATAAGGAAGGAAACAGACCGAAGACGCGAAGCGGCTCCAACCTGCACAGAGTGGTCGGACTAGCTCCACACTGAACCCGCGTCAGTGATCGTCACATCTCATCACAAAAGCCTGCTCTATTTGTGTTTTCGCACCGGGGTCGGTGCGACGTCGCCGACCCTCAAATCCAGGATTTGTGCACGGTCGGCGCGGTTCACGCAGCGTTGTCTGTTGTTTTCATGATTGATCGGTATGGACTCGGGACCCTTCCCCTTGCTGTTCGTGAAGCGCCGGGTTCTTCGCGCGAATCTCAAGGACGCGGGGCTGAGGAAGGACCTGCATGCGATTCGGAAGTGGGTGACCGATCGCCATACGCTTTCGAAGGAAGCGATCTTGCACTGGTGGGTTCGCGATCTTCCTGACGGGAAGGATGGGCAGGCGGCCACGTGTTCCCAGGTGTCAGGATCTCAGGAGGTGCGTGATGGGTGCGTACCGGTATGACGTATGAAACGAGAGAAACGGATGCAGAGAGAATGTGCAGCCAACCGTGCCGCACGGTCGGACCCCTCACAGCATTTCCAAGTCCATTGCGAGAATATACGGGATCCATCCTTGAAGACTCGCCCGTCCTACTTCTTCTATCTCTTGAGCTGCAGTGCAGTCTTCTTGTTGTTACCGTATTCACTGCTTAGTCTAAACTGGACATAGATTTCGGTCGAAGTTCGCTGGGCGGTCGAGGAAAAAAGACACGTCAACTGTGTGAGCTTTGGAAACGTCACTACTCAGCTGGCAGCCAGCTGTGAGCGGGTCCGCTACCTGCATATTTTTCATCTTGCATCTCCCCTTGGCGACGTGCTCTCATTATCTCTCCGTAGGGACCACTCGTATAAAAAGGGGGGGGCGCGGTGCCTCAAGAAGGGATGTGATGTATGTGTGCTGGACGAAAAAACAGGACCAATAAATAACCAGAAACGGGTATACCCGGGTACTTCGTCACCACTTTCGGGTACACTCAGAAATCAAGACGGTTGCACCCCCAGACTGTCAGCTGATTGGCCGAAAAACCATTGTACCCATTGTTGGAAAAATCTCCATCAGGAACAACTTCCGCTGGAGATAGTACCCTCTGGTGTAACCGATATTGTTGTACTGGCGTACCCGTAAAGGGTCGATTTTGTACCCAGATATGCATGTGTTCATATAATCCCGGCATCCGACGACTCTAAAACCCGCATTGAAAAACGTATACCGCGCATACCCGCATGACACACCATATACCGCACATACCCCACAGTAGCCACACAAACCACCAACGCTTGTTGACGGGCACATTGTCTCCAAGGATACCAATCTTCGACAGCCTCCTCCGTAGATCGCGGCGAAACCAACCGCCGTGTTCTGCTGCTGCTGCTGCTGCTGCTGCTGCTGCTGCTGCTGCTGCTGTGCTGTGCCTCGGAAGCATGAAGCAGGTCGTGCCCGTTTTGTCTCTGTCCTAACCTAATAATGTACGAGCACCACAGCGAGCTAACTCGCGGATAGAGCGAGTTCGACCCCCTCTATCCAGGAGAGGGGCGCGGGCCCACGAGTCGATAAATACGTCAAATTAGACTGACTGGTGAAATTGCCAACGGGCACACAGGAAGCGCAACACCCGCGATTGGCGATCTAATGGCGATCGGATCCTCCTTCCTCATGGGAATGCTTGTGGTGTGGACGCAACCCTCGCAAGATATAGCAGAGTGAGTCTCCAAGGTGCGACATGATAGCAGCTCGCTGTTGATAGCTACAGACATTACACACATATTGCCGACCCATTCAGTGTTGTCTCTTTTCCCCAACCACACACCCACACACAAACTCACACCCTCTGCGCTGTTCCGCGGACGCGCTGCTCCGCAAGGGATTTCACCAGGGAGCTAGTAGCACGGAGCTACGGCCATTATGCATACCTGTCTGGCTGTTCCAGGTGCTGTGTATTTCCGTCTTCTTTCCGTGCGTGCATGTTTGGGTGTTAATCGACCGCACGGCGGTGGCGTGCACAACAACCGTCAACTTCCAATTCGGTCGACTCGGTCCCAGGCTCAATGCCTCGCGTCGTCACCAACACTGTAGAGTAGAGGTAGATGTTATCTTTACGATATAATTGTGGTGTAGCTCAATTAACAATACAGATAAGAGTCATGTAGCTAGGTGTTTTACGCAGGAGTGAAGAGGTTGCATGCTGCGTAGTAGGGCTGTCTCAGGAATCCTCAGAAAAGTATCGATCATGCATGAATGACCTTTTGATCACATTAGGTATTCGATCGTACATCGTGTGAATTTGGCGTTGTGGCAACACAGCAGTTACTTCGTCTTGATTCAACACTTACGCGTCGGTTTCCGCAGAAAAATGCGAATCGACAGCTAGCTACATTATGAGAGGAATAAAGTCGGGATAAACCAAACATAATCATGGGAACACTCTCATCTCTTCAAGGAAAGTGGTGGCCCCGCCCCCCTCGCCCCCTCCCTCGCAAGGACCTCGAATGCCACACCAGAATACGGGTTCCGACCTCTACATCTGAACACGACACGCTCGTTTACTTCCCCTGTGTAGCAGCAACGTGTACCCCGGAAGTTCCTAGTCAGCAGAGGGTGTGTGCTACAAATCAACGATGCAAAGCGAAAGGGTAAGCACACTCGCTTGCGCCTTGCATTGAACTTAACCAACGTACCGCATGGAACACGAAAGCCAAAGAAAGAAAGACGAAAGTATCAAAGATCCTAAAAACCTCCCTGCCCGCCATTATTCACCATCGTCATCACCTATTTGGTCGTCGGCTAGATGAATGTCAAGGCCCGCGATCCCCGATTCTTCACCGGGGAGTGCACGGCGCGAAAATAAAATATCGCGTAGTACATGGCACGTAAAAAAACGGCAACACACGTCGTCATTCGGCGGGCGGCACTTAGCGTGTCAAATTGATCACCATGCCCCCGACCGTGACCGATCCGCCCGCACGCCCCCCCTATGACGAAGAGGGAGTCGCTGTGGCACCCCCCTGCGACAGAGAGGGAGCCGCCGTGGTTCCGGATGCGGCCGGGCCGAGTTCAGAAACTCGCGTGTTGAACGACGACGAAGCGAACTTGTCCCCGCGCCCCGCGATCCTCTTGAACTTTTTCGGCCCGAGTTTCTTGGGAGCGCCGGCCTGACCATCCACGGGGAGAGGAGGTAGCAGGGTGTCAACTTCCTCCAGCGTGGACGCCACAGGCAGCATGACCTGGTACGCGTCGTCGCCGTAGTTCTGGCTGTGGTAGTTGAGGTGATAGGCCGGGTTCATGAGGGTCATGACAGCGTCCATCTTGTCCTCCTCTGCGTGTATTGAAGGAGGGAGCAACATGGACAACGACAGAAGAGGGAAATGACAGCAGTGNAACGCCACACGCAGCATGACTTGGTACGTGTCGTCGCCGTAGGTCTGGCGGTGGTATTTGAGGCGATAGGCCGGGTTCATGAGGGTCATGACAGCGTCCATCTTGTCCTCCTCTGCGTGTATTGAAGGAGGGAGCAACATGGACAACGACAGAAGAGGGAAATGACAGCAGTGGGAAAGCGTGGTTAGTTTCTGCCGACCGCGGCCGAAAGGGATACTGACGCGCGACGGCGGACTGACCGAAAGCAAAGTATCGTGCCACCTGTTGTCCAATCATGGGGCACCAGAAGGAATACATAAGCCATATTGGCATCGGTTAGACTTTGGCTTTCACGTATTGTGGCCGAAGCACCGCATGTAACCACGACCTCGAAGCTGCCGTTGCGGGTGCGGGTGTGTGAATCACTTTCGAGAAGGGTCCTAGTTCGTTCAACTGCAAGTGCGCAAACGTAGACCGCTTATTTCTTGTGTCATCAAACACTTGACCGAGCGATTCNCACCAGAAGGAATACATAAGCCATATTGGCATCGGTTAGACTTTGGCTTTCACGTATTGTGGCCGAAGCACCGCATGTAACCACGACCTCGAAGCTGCCGTTGCGGGTGCGGGTGTGTGAATCACTTTCGAGAAGGGTCCTAGTTCGTTCAACTGCAAGTGCGCAAACGTAGACCGCTTATTTCTTGTGTCATCAAACACTTGACCGAGCGATTCCCGTGGTCACAGGCTACGCTGCCTGAAAAAAGGTATAATCACAGGCCAGATATTGTAGTTCATCCCCTGGTTCAATCTTGGTATTCCACAGACTGGTTCAATCTTGGTACTCCACAAAGATAGAGAAAATACACAATCCGGCGAAGACAGGATAAAAGAGATAAAAAAAACAAAAAAAAAACCCACGCAGGAAACAACTAAAATAAACTGACACGCAGAAAACAAAAGACCCGTCACAATGACAAGAGGACACAGACAGAGCATGCAGCACAAAAACAGGTTTGCCGTGTGAACACGCGAATAAGCACGCAAGTGATCCGATCGATTCCGCGACAATACACTCACAGAGTGCTGCTGGAGGGCTCCTGGCAACACGAGGTTCACGTTCATTTGGGGTGCTCGGCAGAGTATACTGTCTACGGGGCCTCCGGGGGGTACGCGGATGGAATGTATTGACAGACATGCTGCATGGCGATGGTGTGGCCTACCGCATGTCTCTTACTCTCTAAGCAACAAGGTCTTGAGTCAACCTTCTTTCTCTTTCGGCCTCTGACGAGCTACCGCACCCAAACACAATACAATATATTGTAAGGCCTGGTGTTGGTAGTGGGTATTGGCGTATGAGCAGTGGGAGCTGGGCCATCGGGGCAGCGGACACCATTTTCATAGCTGGGATCGCGGCCAAAGGGGGCGAGGACAGCAGTGCATAGCTGGTGCGGTGGCCATTGCGGGGACCGGGACAGCAGGGTTTATAGCTGGGACAGCACTTCGAGGCTGGGACAGCAGGGAGGGTTTAGAGTTTTAGTTTGATATGTCTGGAACGGAGGAGGACGCAACTCTGAGCGCGAGGTTGGATGAGGCGCTACGAGCTATAGAGGAGGCCAAGGCTGAGACGAAGGAGGCCAAAGCTGAGACGGAGGAGCTTAGGGCAGCACAGCGGCGGTCTGCGGGTGCACCTGCCGGCAGCAGCTCAGGAGGCGACGGTCTAGTTGCTCTTGGAGGGGCTTCATCTGCACCGGTGAGGCCAATGTGGCCAGGCGGGGTGAGTCATGATGGCGGTACTGGGGTGCCGGGTTTGCCTCTGGGAGGTACAATTGTCAGAATTCCTGTGCCTAGAATCCCGCCTAATTGCACCGCCGACACTTTTCTCAACTGGCGGAGACGCTTTCTGGCCTACGTGGGCAACCACAATCTCCAGCACACAATCTTTGGCAGTGCTGAGGTTCCCGTTGTCAGTTGTCAGGATGAAGGATACTTGACACGCCAGTATGGTGCACAGCTGGTTGTTGAGCACAAGAGGACATGGAGTTTTATCTTGGAGGCAGCGGTGGGGGCCCCATTTGAGAACAACCTGTACTCTTGCCATTCCGTGGCAGAGGCGTGGAGGATGATGGAGGATTGGTATTTGCCGAACCACCCAGCTGATTGTCAGCTCCTCGTCGCCGAGCTAGACAATATAACCATGAGTGATGATGAGGACCTCAAGCTTTTCTTCTCGCGCGTCGCACAACTGGAGACCAAGTTACGGGCTGTGGGCATTGCTAAGAGTGACCAGGAAGTTGTGCAGATCCTTGTGCGCCAACTCCCCGCACGCTGCGATGTCGAGAAGCGCATAGTCTTTCCAAGCGTGATTTATCCCGCGCTGAGTTGCAGGACATCGTGCGTGGTCGATATGCCACGCTCAAGGCCAGCGAGATGAGGGAGCGAGGGTCGGCAGCTTTGACGCCGGCGGTTTCTGTCAACCCCCATGCTCTTGTTGTGGGCCGTGGTTTTGGACACGGCGGCAACGNGACCAGGAAGTTGTGCAGATCCTTGTGCGCCAACTCCCCGCACGCTACGATGTCGAGAAGCGCACTAGTCTTTCCAAGCGTGATTTAACCCGCGCTGAGTTGCAGGACGTCGTGCGTGGTCGATATGCCACGCTCAAGGCCAGCGAGATGAGGGAGCGAGGGTCGGCAGCTTCGACGCCGGCGGTTTCTGTCAACTCCCATACTCTTGTTGTGGGCCGTGGTTTTGGACACGGCGGCAACGCGGGGAGCGGGGGGGGCGGAGGCCAACGGCGGAATGGCAACAACGGCGACGGCCGCGGGCAACACTGGTCCTCTGGGGGCGGTGTTGTCCAACAGCAACAGCCGCAGTTGCAGGTGCAGCAATACCGGCAGCCGCAACAGCCGCAGCGACACATGCAACAGCCGAACCAACAGCCGCAGCGGCAGGTGCAACAGTCGTACCCACAGCCGCAGCAGCAGATGCGACAGCAGCAGCCGTATCAACAGCAGTCGCAGATGCAGCCGTACCGGCAGTCGCAGCAGCAGCCGCAGCAGCAGCGGCAGCAGCAACAGCCCGCTTTGAACGGTGTTGGTGGCATCTACGATTGAGGTAGTAATGCCGTGTATCATCAGCCGGAAGCACTACCTCCACCTGGCGCGCCGATGGGCACAGTGCACAGATGCGGCCGCTGTGGAAGGCA